AGATCGCGCCATTGCACTCCAGCCTGGGTAATAAGAGCGAAACTCCGTCTCAAAAAAAAAAAAAAAAAAATTATTAAGTCTGTCAATCTGACAACCAATCGTATTTAACTGCATCTGTAGTTCTTTTTTTTTTCAGCTGCATGATCAATTTTATTTTATTTTATTTGTAGTTCTTACATGCTATTTTGAGATACAAAAAAAGATTGAGTCAAAATTTTTCTAAGGATTAAATTAGGCAAAGGGAATGAAAAAGTGCAGAGTGGGGAAGGCTGTGTATCACTAGGCTTACTTACCTCTTCATGAGTAAAATCAGCATATTCGACCAAACAAATTCCTCTTCAGTTTGGCAGTTTTGTTTGTTCCATGTCATTATAAATGCATGGACAAGACATATTCCGCTAACAAAAGGTTGGAAGTCCTCAGGTAGGACGGGGAGAACGGCCCTGAGGAGTCTCCAGCAGCGTCCGGGCTGGAGGTCCAGGGTCCCAAAGACAAGGGGTGAGCTGCCCCGAGAATGAAGCCTGCCTTCCCCGTATGTCTTTGTGGTTGGTTCCCTCTGTTCGAGGACAATTGGTAAAGGCGGTAAAACCGTGACTCTCGTCCCAATATAAAATGAATGCAGATCAATATTTTGTTTAACTCAGCAATTAGAGGACAGTGATAAGATGCAAAGAACCACACATACATGGGCAATTAGAAATGCTGAGTTGGGCTGGGCCGGTGGCTCACGCCTGTAATCCCAGCACTTGGGGAGCCAAGGTGGGTGGATCATGAGGTCAGGAGATCAAGACCATCCTGGCCAACAAGGTGAAACCCCATCTCTACTAAAAATATGAAAATAAGCGGGGTGTGGTGGCGCACACCTGTAGTCCCAGCTACTTGGGAGGCTGAAGCAGGAGAATCGCTTGAACCTGGGAGGCGTAGGTTGCAGTGAGCCAAGATCGCACCACTACGCTCCAGCCTGGGTGACGGAGCAAGACGCTGTCTTAAAAAAAGAAAAGAAAAGAAAAAGAAATGCTGAATTGAACTTACGAATCAGGGCAAAACTGGACAATGCATTCCACAGACACAAGCCAACTTTACTTCTAGGAAAAAGGGCCATTTGCATTGTTGTCAGCTTTCTGATCAGCTGCAAACAGTGAAAGATGCGGAAAACCTGGGAGGACCCCAGACCCCCTTCACTTCCTGTGAAAGCGCCAAGCGTCTCTGTGTTCCACTTCCACCTTTTTCACAACAGTTTGCTTCGTCACTATTCACCTCGGGGGTTGGCAGTGCCTGAGTGGCTCCCAGGGGTCAGCCTGCTGGTATGCTCGTGCTCCAGGGTGGGCTGGACCTAGTGACTTGCTTCTAACCAAATGACTACAGCAGAAGGGATGGTGTTATTTCCGTGATTAGGTCACAAAAGACTGTGCCTCATCCTGCCCAGATGAACTGGACCCCTGGCAAGGGGCTGAGGTGGCCTCCAGTCAACAGCCGGCAAAGAACTGAGGCCATTTGTCCCACAGCCCAGGCCAGCAGCCACACAGATGAGCTCAGAAGAGGATCCTGCTCCAGCTGAACCCTGAGACGCTGTGGCTGCAGCTGACAACCTGTCCGAGCCTGTGAAGACCCTGAGCAGAGGACCCAGGTCAGCTGTGTCCAGATTCCTGACACATGAAACTGAGGAAATAAATATGTACTCTTCTAAGCTGCTAAGTTTTGGAGAAACTTGTTACACGGCAATTGATGATGAATTCACTCTTCCTTCCAGCTTTCTTTGTACCGATTGCCTGCCTTGTGTCACACAGATTTTAATCATTTTAAGAAAATACCTAGTAATCAGTTTGTGCACAGGTAATGTGACTGACCCAGGGAATTGCGCCTGGCTGCCTGGGAGCCACAGGAAAAGGGAGCACAGAGGCTGCGTCTTTCCCACACAAACAGCAGAAGGCAGGCTACAGGGGATGATGCCCCAAGAGCCAAAACACAGGCCAGCTCAGTTCCCCAAATCACCTTTTCAGTACAGTCTCTTTACAGCATCTCAGAGTGTTCTTTCGTCTGCTCATTCTCTTCACCACTGAACCCGTAATAGATGAGTTCAACTTCACTGAGACTAAGGGGTTTGCTGGTTTCTGCATGCCTAAGACTCCCACCTATGCTAGGTGCAAAGACTTACATATCTTTTCTCTAACAAGAATACTGTTTTTTTTTCATTTTCCACCTATTTTCATAAAACAAGAAGAGCAAAATGTAATAAAACCCTTCAGTAACCTTTAGCCTGAGATGACAGTGCTGGGATCTTGCATAGGTGGCCACCAGGCAACCAGCCACATGCCTGCCCAGGAGTGTGCTGCTTCCGGGACTCGCCTGGGAGCACGTGGACAGCAGCCTGTGCCCTCCACACCCAGACACTCACATCAGCGGCCCTTCCCCTGAGAGCCCTCACCGTGGGTGGGCTGAGCCAACACCCCATTCTCCCCACAGTGCTGAGAGCTGCCCCTGGAGGCTACAGTTCCCTGTTGCTCCTCCTCCTGGGAGAAGCTCTGCCAGGGAGGTGCCACTCACTCATGAGGGCTCATGCCTTCAGGCAAGGCTGGCACCTTCTGGCATCTCCACTCAGCCCAGGTAGCTGCCAGTGCCATCCCGACCCCTCCCCGTGCCCTGGGCAGGCTGTGGGGGCCGGGCACCTTCAGCCCTCCCTTCATTGGACCATCACTCCTGCCTCCAAGTGCCCACATCTGTCAGCACCTCTCCACGCCCTCCCTCCTCCTCCACCTGGAATCCTGCCTGAATACCCAGGGCCTCCTGCCTGTGGAGCTCATGACAGGGGCCCCAGGTGGCCCCTGGTACACCATACATCGAAGCAAGAAGTGAGGTCAAAGACCTTAGAAAATATACTCTTCTGGTCTTCCCGATTCTTGTCTCACTGTGAGGCCTTTTTCTAGAAACTGGAAGCTGAACATTAGCCTTCCGTCACTCACACCCTGCCCAGGACAATCCTGCTGCCCCCCATCTGCCTGCCCAGGCACACGCCCACACAGTCCTTCTGGCCATATTCAACACTTCCTAACAAAACACTCTTTAAAGAAGAGGAAAACGGAAGCCTCTTGCTGGGAGAAGATCCTGTAACACAGGACCAGAGAGGGTGAATAACCAGAATATTAAATCTGAATTTGGGGGACAGACACCTTCAGTATATAACAGAGAACATTTGCTGCAGGCTGTTTTTAATAGCACATACTGGGGGGTGAGGAGCAGAGAATGAAAAGCCGTCAACCGGAGAACAGGTCTGAATGGTGGCATGTTCCCATGATGAAATTCTACGCAGGGAGTTCGAACGAACGAACTAGAGCTGCACGCATTAGCACGAGAGGTCTCGAAACACATCGGCAAAAAGAGCGACTCAGAGATTCCCCATCTGCAACACGACAGGATAGACTATTAGTGAATAAAACATCCGCGAAAGTCCGCGCAGGCCAGGGTGCTCCCCCAGAGGCGCGGGGTCTCAGCAGCAGCACGAGCCACACCCACATGCCTTCTGTGGTGCTTTGGTAAAGGCTGGAGACACCGTCAGCACTGCGGCGCTCAGGACTCCGGCTGTGGGAACAAGGGTGCTCAGATCTGCAGGGTCATCGACATTCCCCAGCAGAGGCAGGCAGAGACACCTACTCAGAGGATGCTGTTTTTCTCATTACAAGGACATCTGTGTGAACTGCAAAGTATGGATTTGGAGTATGAGCACTGGCATGTAAAACCCATTCATTGTCTTTACCTAAGTAAATATTTAAACATGGATCAAAATTTTTGATCAGCATAGAAAATGCTGAGTCGCAATAGCAAAGACTTGGAACCAACCCAAATGCCCATCAGTGATAGACTGGTTAAAGAAAATATGGCACATATCTACCATGGAATACTATGTAGCCATAAAAAAGGATGAGTTCATGTCCTTTGCGGGGACATGGATGAACCTGGAAACCATCATTCTCAGCAAAATAACACAAGAACAGAAAACCAAACACTGCATGTTCTCACTCATAAGTGGGTGTTGAACAATGAGAACACACGGACACAGGGAGGAGAACATCACACACCAGGGCCTGGGGGCTAGGGGCCTAGGGGAGGAATATCAGGGGGTGGGGGGATTGGGGAGGGATAGCATTAGGAGAAATACCTAACGTAGATGACGGGGAGATGGACGCAGCAAACCACCACCATGGCACGTGTATACCCATGTAACAAACTTGCATGGTCTGCACATGTACCCCAAACTTAAAGTATAATAAATAAATTTTTTTTAATGGAATGATGTCTTTTGCAGCAACATGGATGCAGCTGGAGGCCAGTAGCCAAGCAAATTAGCGCAGGAACAAGAAACCAAATGCCACGCATTCTCATGAGAAGTGGTGCTAGCCCTGGGTGCACTCAGACACAAAGAAGGCAGCAGTGGACACTCGGACCCCACGGGGGCGGGAGGAGGGAGGGTGGAAAAGTAACTATTGGGTACCATGCTGTCTACCTGGGCGATCAGTGGTACCCCAAATCTCTGCATCACACAATACACCCAGGTAACAAATCTGCACATTTAACCCCTGAATCTTAAATAAAACTTGAAATTATTTTTTAATTTATTTTTATGTAAATTCTGGCTTTTCTGACATGAAAAACAATACTCAGTTAATTCACTTGCTGTATGTATAGAAATAAAGCATGTCCTAAGAGAGATACGCTTTCCAACACTGCAGAATAATTGCAATACCTTAAATAATAGATGAAGGGCTAAGTCTTCATGCTGCAAACTCTCTTTCCTATTTTTATTATCTTTTACAGCTAAATTAAGTTTACCATATTTTACAAACACCATTCATCAAAAAACTAAGCCAGGAAAGTGATCTAACGCTCGAGAGATTATTGCAAAATTTCTGGAAATTTCTCCCACAACACCCATGGGGGAACGACGCTCATGGAAACCCCATCTTTGTGAACTCCACGTTCACAAGATGGCACCGTTTCAAACTCACCTCCCCTTTGTGAGGAACGGGGCGCCCTCCCGGCCTGCAGGAGCCCAGTCGCGGAGGCACGAGTTCGAGGCGTCTGCGCCGCCGGCCCCGCGCGGAGACGCCTGCAGGAGCTCCACCCCCTGCGCGCCCGGGGCCCGCGCGCCGCTGCCCTCCAGGTGCATGCTCCGCGCCGTCTTCCCCTAGGGCAGCCGGAGAGAAAGCACTCGGTGAGAGGCCTGCCCCACGGGAGTCCCTGCGCTAGGAAGGCTGCTCCGCGGAGGCCCTCCCGGCGCTCCAGCTCCCTGACCATCCCCACCCACGAACGCGCCCACACATTTCGCACGGGCCGTGGCCTCCGTGGATCACGGAGCGCCGGTTAAGTGGATCGCCACGTGTGCACAGCATGAAGTTCTGTGCTGCTGAGAAGCAGAGGCACGTGCTGGGGCCGGAGTTAGCAGAACAGGTGCATCGGCCACTCCCAGTCCCCTGATTCACATACAGTCTTCACAATGCCCCGTGAGCACGGAATTCCGGGGTGCCCAGGATGGCGGGAGTTTGCGGAGACTCAAAGCAAGTACAAGGAGCGTCAAGTCTACAGCTGAGTAAGCCAGGGCACTCGCAGCCCCAGACGCCACACTTCCCAGTGGAGCCAGAACTTACTGCAAATACAGAAAGACATGACATTTGAAGAAACCCCAACAACCAAGAAAGGCCATACTCCTTCTCACCGCGGTTATTTCCCTGCCCTAACACTTCGGCTGAGAGTGATCACTCACAAACCAGTGAGCCGAAGGCAGCCGTGTGGGCAGAAGGTACCTGTATCCTAAAGTGAGATAAAGCATTTGTTTTATATGATGGTTCCACTGTCTGGTAAGAACAAAGTACAGATGTGCATACCAGCTACAAAAACGTTGTCTGGTTTCACCAATTCCACACACGAGCTAAACGTTTCAGTATTTGCATTTAAAACGGATGTGGCACAATATAGAGATGATTAGTGAAAGTCATGCTAACAATTTAAAATTTAAATTTATTTAGAATAATGACATTAAATACCAATTTAAAACACACCATGACAAGCCAAGAGAGAGAGACTATGGAAGAAAAGAAAAAACTTCATATTTGAGTACTATTAATGGCATTTTTCCTGGGTTTTGCACAAAGCGCCCCACAAATTATGTAACTGGTCCTGCTGCGATGTTAGAGGGGTCCTCTTGCTCTCCACTGACAATTGCAGGGCACCATTGCCCCTCCGAAAACACTCAGCTTCTTGAGAACATGCCGTTGGAATTGTCTGAACACTGCCCCCAGGCAAAGCTGAATTCGGATGTGCCCTCCACAAACTCAGAGGCTGAAACCGGCCCCTCTGATAGGATGGTGTTCAGGGGTGGGGTCTTGGGGCTGCGGCTGGGATCTGAAGAGGCCTGAGGGTAGAGCCCTCATGGATGAGCTCCAGACCCTATAAGAGTCATGGGAGAGCTCGCTTCCTCTCTCCAGCCTGTGGGGACTGGCTGAGAAGGCGCGGTCGTGCAGCAGGGAGAGGACCCTCCTCAGGTGCTGAACCTGCTGGCGCTCTGATCTGAGATCCCACAGCTTCACACGCTGTGGGAAGTGATGTTTGTGGCAGAAGTCATCAGTTTATGGTGTTTTGTTACAGCAGCATGAATGGACTCACAGGAGCATACCACCCACCCTTAGTGCAACAAACATCCACGCTTTCAGGCCATGTCCTGTCTTTCCTGGAATATTCTAGCCCTTCTCTCTCTTCCCCCAACCACGACACTTATGTTTTGGCTTCAACATCCACGGAGGTGATGCTCCCCACTGCCCGGCCTCTCAGCACATGACCAGCCCTTGGCAGAGAGCCCACTCTGCCCAGACATCAGCCAAGCCCTCCAAGGCCTGGCTTCACTCTTCCCCGGTGGAGCCTTTGTGGTCCAGCAAACATCCTCCTCTGACTTGCCCCAACTCATTCTCTCAAACTTACCTGATACATGGGTTTTCTATTGTCGCAAAACAAATCATCCCAGAGTGCATGGGTTTAAAAGCACACGTGTGTATAATTTCAGAGTTTCTGTGGGTCAAGGCCAGGGTAGCTCAGCTGGGTTGTCTGCTTGGGATCTCAAGGGGCCACTGGGCTGTGATTTCATCCGGAATCTCAAATGGGGAAGAAGCGGCTGCCAAGGTCACTCAGTGCAGACAGGATCCACGTCCTGGTGGCTGCAGGACTCAGGGCCCCGGCTTCTGGCTGGCTGCGGGTTGGAGGCCCCCTCAGAGGCCCCCTTCACCCCAACAGGCTCCTACATCCTCACTATGTGTGCTCCCCAGCACATCTGCTCGCCTTCTCAGGCAACAAGGAGCATCTGGAGAGGGAGCAGCAGCAAGGCAGAGTTTCACAGACTATTATGTGTTGGGGGCATCTACCGCTTTGCCATATTCTCTCAGCTGGAGGTCAGTCCTGGGTCCTGCATGCCCACACCCAAAGGGAGGGGACTAAACCAGGGTGTGAATGCCAGGAGGTGGGGACCACGGGTCCCTGGACTCTGTCATCCAGGGCCAAATCCCAACCCTGCTCAGCAGCGGGAAATTGCTTAGAAAATGTTCCGTGCTGCTTATGGCTGCAGATGACATCATGTGAAGAACCCCAGGTGGGCCCCAGTGCTGCCCCACAATCCCACCGCACCTCCCCAGGCAGCGTACGTGCCTGTTCTCCGAGGCCCTCCCCGCTGAAGCCCCACACATCCAACACCCTTTCACTCCCAGCTGCTGCGTCTGCCTCTTGCTCCCTTCACTGGCTGAATCAGCCAGGGTCCAAGAAGGAAACAGAAGCTACTCTGAGCACTTCTGGAAGGAGCTGGAGCCCCAGGAGAGATGCCCCAAAGAAAAGCGGGACACCCTCCCTCTCGTCACACGACATGTCTTTGTAACAACCTGTACATGTACCCCTGAATCTAAAACAAAAGTCGAAAAATAAAACAATACAGGCAGGCTGCAAGTAAAAAGACGGAAAACAACAGACCATCCAAGCATCAATACAAAGAAAGCAGGAGAGGTTATATTCACATAATACTTGGTAGGCTTCAAAGCAAAGAAAATTACCAGGCACAGAGAGAGACATCGCGTAGTGATTTAAAAAAAAAAAAAAAAAAGGTCACTTTACCAAGAAGACATGGAAATCCTAAACACACACGCAGAAAACAACAGAGCTGCAAAATATCTAACACAAAAACGAATAGAGCTAAAAGGAGAAAGACATTTATATTACAGTTTTATAGTTGGAAACTTAAACATTTATCTCTCAGCAATTAATAGAACAAATAGACAGAAAATCAGTGCAGATATAGAAGAACTGAACACCTTCAACCAACAGGATATAATCAATACTGTAGAACTCTCCATCCAGGCCGGCGCGGTGGCTCAAGCCTGTAATCCCAGCACTTTGGGAGGCCGAGGCGGGTGGATCACGAGGTCAACAGATCGAGACCATCCTGGTCAACATGGTGAAACCCCATCTCTACTAAAAATACAAAAAATGAGCTGGGCATGGTGGTGCGTGCCTGTAATCCCAGCTACTCAGGAGGCTGAGGCAGGAGAATTGCCTGAACCCAGGAGGCGGAGGTTGCGGTGAGCGAGATCGCGCCATTGCACTCCAGCCTGGGTAACAAGAGCAAAACTCCGTCTCAAAAAAAAAAAAAAAAAAAAAAGAACTCTCCATCCAACAACAGCGGAGTATTCCTACAAAGTGTCTATAGAATGTACACCAAGAGAGATCACACTTTGGACCATAAATCAAACCTCAACAAATTTAAAAGAATTGAAATCATACAGAGTATTCTGTAGCCACAATGCAATCAAATTAGAAATAAATAACAGAAAGACAGGAAAAAAATCTGCACACTTGGAAATCAAACACACTTCCAAAAATCCAGGATTCCAAAAGTAAGCCTCAAGGGAAATCAGAATTATATTGAGCTGAATGAAAGTGACAATACAACATACCAAAATCAGCAGAACACGGCTAAATCAGTGATGGGAGGAAAATTTACAGCATAAATGCTAGTATCAAAAGGAGAGCAAGTCTCAAAAAATAATATACATTCTTATCTCAATAACCTAGAAAAAGAAGAGGAAAATAAACCCAAAGCAAGCAAAAGTGAGAAATAACAAAGGTGAGATTAAAAAATCAAGGAAATAGAAAACAAATCAACAAAAACAGTAAGAAAAAAAAATCAATAAAACAAAGAGCTGCTTCTTTGAAAATATCACTAGAATTAGCAATCTTCTTGCAAGACTGGCCAAGAAAAGAAAAAAGAGAGAATGCAAGTTATTAATATCAGGAATGAAACAGGAAATATCACTACAGACCCTGAAGACATCAAAGAATAACGATGGTATATTAGACTACCATTTTACAACTTTACACACATAAGTTGGAAAACTTAGTCCGATTCCTCGAAAAGCACAAATTACTACAACTCATCCCATATAAAATGGGTAATTGAATATCTCTATAATATATAGTAAGTAAATTAAATTTGAGGTTTTTTAAGACAGATTTTCATTCTTGTTGCCCAGGTTGAAGTGCAGTGATGCAATCTCAGCTCACTGCAACCTCCGCCTCCCGGGTTCAACTGATTCCCTTGCCTCAGCCTCCCAAGTAGCTGGAATTACAGGCATGCACCACCACACCCTGCTAATTTTATATTTTTAGTAGAGATGGTGTTTCTTCATGTTGGTCAGGCGGGTCTCGAACTCCTGACCTTAGGTGATCTGCCCACCTTGGCTTCCCAAAGCACTGGGATCACAGGCGTGAGCCACCACATCCTGCCCCAAATTGGAATTTTTTAAAAAAGAACTCTCTAGGGTCAGATGGTTTCACTGGAGAATTCTACCAAACATTTAACACCAATTCTATACAATCTCTTCCAGAAAATGCAAGATGAGGTAAACCTTCAGTGAGTTTTATGAAGACAATATTACCCTGATCACTACAAAGAAAAAATACTACAGCCAATATCTCACATGAATGTGGTGCAAACATGTTTAACAAAATTTTAGCAAAGGGAATTCAGTTAATATATTAACTACACACATAACTAAGTAGGGTTTGTTCCAGGGGTGCGAGGCTGGTCTAGTATCCAAAAACCAATCTATGCTGAACATGGAGCAGGCACAGGACCCAGCA